TCTTGCATCGAGGGCTGCAGCGGGAAGATGCTCTGGCCATTGGCCAAAGCAAGTAAGTTAAACCCTAAACCCTTTTACCCCAAACCCCTAAACCCCTAAACCCCTAAACCCCTAAACCCCTAAACCCCTAAACCCCTAAACCCCTAAACCCCTAAACCCCTAAACCCCTAAACCCCAAACCCCAAACCCCAAACCCCAAACCCCAAACCCTAAACCCTCAACCCTAAACCCTAAACCCTAAACCCTAAACCAAATTGGCAGGTATCCTTGAAATCTTGCAGCTGTGCAAAGCTTGTGCGAGGTTGTCAATCGCTCACCCTCATTCCAGGATTCCATCCCCCCGATCTTCAGAGTCCCTTTTGAGTAAGACAGGGGCTGTCATGGGCCAGCCTAAACCCTAAACCCTAAACCCTAAACCCTAAACCCTAAACCCTAAACCCTGAACCCTGAACCCTGAACCCTGAACCCTAAAGGCCAAGCCGGGGCGCAGAACAGCAAACAGAAGTGGCACCGACCAGCAGGCGGCACATCTCCTCGTGCAACCGGGGGCTTGGGGTCAGGAGCTAGGAAGGGTGTAGGGTTTAGGGTTTAGGGTTTAGGGTTTAGGGTTTAGGGTTTAGGGTTTAGGGTTTAAGGTTTAGGGTTTAGGGTTTAGGGTTTAGGGTGACTCTGTGATAAAAAGCAGTGTAATAAGCGGAAGCCAAGGTGATGGCAATCACCTGTCGCAGCATGTCCCAGCTGCAGTTTTGCAACCAACTCTAGACGAACAGTCGGTACCAGAAGGCTGTCTACAGCACTGAAGCCATTGATGCCCTAATACATCTTCGACACAGCGTCTGCTCTTCTGTTGAGAAACATGGGCTGTGGGATGAGGATCAAGTTTCATCACATAAGGGTTCCCAACCTCCCCCGCAAAGGTACTCCCCAAACATTTCCCTTTTGGGGGGGGGACCCTGTGAGCCTATGGACTAAAGAGTCCCCTCAAACCCTATGCGCCCCATACACCCCATAAACTTTAAACATTTTCGACAAGCCCTCTGAACCCAGAAACCCTATTCCGAAAGCCCTCTACCCTGCAAATCGCGCGCCCCACAAAACCTAAACTTCACGACAGGACTTGTTCAATGTTTAGGGGTTTGGGGTTCAGGGTGGACTATCCCAAGCTAGAACAGAACCCTAAGCCTGAGCCCTAAACTCCCTAAACTCCCTAAACTCCCTAAACTCCCTAAACTCCCTAAACTCCCTAAACTCCCTAAACCCTATCCCGAATGTTTCGCGAGTTGGCTGAGGGTGGCAAGGCTTCGGGGTGAGAAACCGTACGATTCGGCCAAGGAGCAGCAGGAACCGCGAGGTAAAGTCCTGAGATCCCCTAAGGCAAGGCAGCAAAAAGAAGAGGGCTGACGAACATATCCGACAAATCAAGGTCCCTGCTGTTTAGGGTGCTTTTTGTGCCACCCCCTAGCTAATATGCTTGTGTAAGGTCTCGGGTTTTCGGCAACATCGACTGAGGGTCTTGAGGTGGAGGGGTCTATAAGTCTGAGCTGAAATCTGGAAAACTCACGATTATGACGACCATGCACTTTGGCCTGCATTCAACCTATACACCCGAAACCCTTTTGAACCCTAAACCCCCGTAGCTCCACAGCAGGTCTGTGAGCTGGGAAGAGGAAGTCGTCACGCTATGCTGCCACTGACCCTCAACCACAGAAGCAACACCCAAACCCCTAAACCCCCAAACCCTAACCCTAAACCCTAAACCCTAAACCCCTAAACCCCCAAACCCTAACCCTAAATCCTAAACCCCAAACCCCCTAACTCTGAACCTCCAAAGCCAACCTTGGCCCGCATGGCCCTAGGCTGTATGAGAGCAGTTGGGGGTGTGGAGTCTGGACGTCTTTTTTTCCCAACATGTCGGTTGCCCTAAACCCTAAACCCTAAACCCTAAACCCTAAACCCTAAACCCTAAACCCTAAACCCTAAACCCTAAACCCTAAACCCTAGACCTCTTGAAACTTCAAGCTACGCATCCTCAAACCTCAATTCACGACCCAAAACCTACATGTAGGTTACTCTGCGAAGGTCCTTAAGTAACTTACACGAAAAAGGCAGGTTTTGGGTTACCCTAAACCTTCGAAGCCCTAAGCCCTAAACCTGAAAGCCCTAAATCCTAGACCTGAAAGCCCTAAACCCTTAACCCTAAACCTTCAAGCCCTAAAACCCTAAACAAAATAAAGTCCATTGAACCCATCAGAGTCCAGCCAACCCCTCTGGGACCCCCTGGGACTCGCAGAAACCCTTTGGAACCCAGGGTTTTAAGCATCACCTGGGACCACAAAAAATTATATTTGGGGGTTTAGGGTTTAAGGTTTAGGGTTCAGGGTATATTTTGAACAGGGGTACCCCTTTTTCGGGGGTGTTCCCGTTAAGGGGATTCTATTCTATCTGGGGTATAGAAGGGTACCCCTAGTGAGGACATACCCATATGCTTCTTGCAGAGCTCAGTAGAAAAGCGCTCACAGCAAGGCCGCAGAACGAAAAAAGCAAAGCGACTGTCTGCTTGATTCATGTCGAAGCAACCCTAATCCCCTTCCTAAACTCCTAAACCCTAAACCCCTTCCTAAACTCCTAAACCCTATAGATCCGCATTTATCTCTGAGGTGAGCGGCAGGGGAGCCCCGGCGAGAGCGGGGCATTCCGGGCGTCGCGCATGCGCCTGGCTTGGCTGTAAAGGGTTTAGGGTTTAATTTAGGTTTACCCGTTGTTGTCCCTTTATCAGGGCAACCGAGCGCGACAGCGCTGTGAACCAGCACATCATCGGGACCTTTAATTTAGGGTTTGGGGTTTAGGCGGAATATTCTTTTGCCGGTTGCCTCAGGCATCTTCATTAACGCAGGGCGCAATCCCTATCACGGACAAGAAGATAGGGTTTTCTGGGCCTTGGACCATAAACCCCTCCACTGGCGGGGAGGGGGGGGAGAGTCTCCCCCACCCATTGCTGCTTGTGCTCAAAACAACCCCCCCCCCCCCCCCCCAAAAAAAAAAAAAAAAGGGATCATATGCATCGAAGGCTTCTACCCTATTGAGCTCAGCTTCATCTAATCCATAAAGGATTGTGCCCAAAAAGCAGCAGGTACTTATAATCATCACAACCAGAATACCCAAAATGCTAATACTGGCATAACTGGCATAACTAGAATAATTTTGACCACAAAAACAAGAAAGTTCATGTTTCTAATCCTAGTCAGTATGCTACTACAGTAGTAACAATCATAGGCCCACTGTGCGTCCTAGTATGCGTAACGATCATAGGGGAGCCGAAACCCAGCCAGCGACCTATCGAGCTGTTTATAGGGTTCTTAAGGGAGGGGGGTGTTTCAAGGGGGGTAGGTGCCTGGGGAACCTTAGGGAACCTTAGGGAGCCTTAGGGAGTAGTGGGGAAGGGAACCTCAGGTTACATGCCCCCCTTGAACCCCCCCCCCCCCGCCCCCCTAAGAACACTACAAGCTTTTCAGGCTGCAGCGCCCAACCCTATATCTTGAACCCTGAAATCTGAAACCCGTAAACTCCCAAACACCTATGTCCTTAAACAAACCTTTAAACCCTGAAAAAACCCTTAAGCCCTTAAACCCCTAAAACCCCAACAATCATGATCGCGCGCTTGGGTGCTGGGTTCTTAAACCTTAACCCCTGAACCCCCCTAAGCCCCCGACAGCCTTAAGCCACAAGACCCTAACAACAGGTTCTTAAGACTCCCTGGTTCTGAGTAGGGAATGGGGGGGGGATGAGTGTACCCTGCAGAATCCCTAAAGGGTATATAATGGGGGGGATATAGGGTACCTTATTCCCTCATTCCCTTTAGAAGGCCCCAAACTCTAAACCCTAAACCCTAAACCCTGAACCCTAAACCCTAAACTCATACGTACCATGAACACTAAGAACCAGCCAGCAGTGGGGGGTTCAGGCCAAGCCCTTCCTCCATAGGCCGCGCCAACTCGATGTCAGCGCGGGCCGCGGCTTCGGCGCGGCGGGGCTTAGGGGTTGAGGTAAGGGTTCGTTAGGGTTCTTTGGTGGGGTTTTGGACTTTTTGGGTTCTTTTTGATTTTATTTTTTTGGGGAGGGGTGGGTTTGGGTGGGTTGGTTTGGGTGGGTTGAGGGCTTAGGGTGGAGGGGGATGGAGTTTTTGTAGGGAGTGTCTGAACTGCCCTCAGATCCCCCCTTACCATGTAAGCACATGGCCCCGGAGTTTTTGGTGAGGAACATCACTTGCGGGGCTACAGCGACCTGCAGGTTGCCGCCTAGAACGCGGGTGTTGGCGCACTCTGGCGTCGCGTCTGTAGGGGGCCTACAATGCTTGAGGGGTCCAAGGAACTTGGACTGAAGCTCGTGAGCCGAGAGATGTGAGAAGCTTTGGCGAGAGCAAGGGGACAAACGCCTGTGAACTTTCCACCTCCATCAAGCGCAGATCCAAGGCTTTGCGGCCTAGAAGGATCTCAAAAAAGGTATGGATGGCAAGTGATCTTTTCTTGGTCAGCCCGTCTGTGAAGTCCGGCTGAAATCTGGACCAAAACTCGCGTCTGAGACGTGGCTGTGTCGAGCCGGAAGCCCTGGGGCGACCTTAAGAGGCCAGCTAATGCGATCTACTCCCACGTGCTCTTGGCGCCTGTGCACCATGCAGATCAATTTTAAGGAAGACAGCTGAGGATCTCCTCAGGTCTGCGGTCTGCAGAGACCAGCAGAGTCTTCGGACTCCGAAGGCTGTTGCGGCAGACCTGGGGCCTATAGCTTAGGCCTTCCTATTTCAAGCATGGGCCCCCTGATCTGGGCCCTTTCTTTGGGGTCCTCATATACCCATGATACGCCTCGCATATATGCATTATATTTATTATAATATCATAATATACTATATTTATCTTAAATGATAAATGATATAATATGATATTACTACCCTTTTTAAGGGTTCCTCCAGAGGTCCCCCGGTCCGCGCACGATCTTCGGGCCCTCTATTGTGTCTGGATCCGCGGGGCAGGCTTCACGATGGTGGCGAGATCTCCCTCCAGCTTCCTTTTGGTGCGAGGGAAGGATGAGCTTTCAGGGGGTGAAGATTAGGGGTTTTAGGGTTTAAGGGTTTAGGGGCCCTAGAGTTTAGGGGTTGAGGGGTAAAGGGATCCTATTTCGAGTCTTCAGTAAGGTGTCATCCGGGGCCTTGTCCCTGCGAGTTGCATCCCCCACAGCTCTCTGAAGCCCTCAGCCGCAGCTCTACCTACGAGTACTGCGGCCGAGCGGCAGGAAGGTGCCCTCCTTCTGGGACGCCTCGTGAGCTGTATGTAACCCGAAGGGCTACCCCAATCCCGCCCCTCAATACGAACCCTAAAGCCTCCCTAAAGCCTCCCTAAAGCCTATAAATCCAAAAACCCTGAAGTCCCAAGAAGCACTCCTACATACCATAAGCTAGTGGCTTTGGGAACCCGAAGCCCTGAAAACTATACTGACCTTCGCCCCTGTCAGAACTCAACTGTCTCATTCTTCGGTGTATTGGTCATGTCCTGTTCGAGTGCATCTGCACCTTCATGGCTCAGTGAAAACCCTTAAAGCGAACAACGCGAGGCCCTCGAACCCCAAAAGGATGTAGGGTCCCAAGGCTTTGGGACTTCCTGAAGGTCAGGCACCCGGCGAAACGCCAAAGTTTTTGGGAATAGACCTGTTTCAAAGTGCTAAGCACCCTACACCCTAAACCCTAAACCCTAAACCCTAAACCCTAAACCCTAAACCCTAAACCCTAAACCCTAAACCCACACGAAGCTCATCCCAACTCCTCGATACTGCTCATGGGGGCCTCCTTCTGAATCCACGCCGACAGAGGCGTCTGATACCAGGGGTCCAGTCCTTCTTTCTCCAGGAACCTGGCTTCTTAGGGTTTAGGGTTTAGGGTTTAGGGTTTAGGGTTTAGGGATACATGCAAGCTTTACTTGCGGTCTGTCTTTTCCGTCTCCCCTCGTTTTCTTCTGTCTCTCTCTCTCTCTCTCCCCCCACAGCCTCTGCCTATGTCTACAACTCAGAGACATACAAACAAAAACTCAGAGACACACATACCTGCGTACATGCATGCGCGCATGCACACTTGCAGCTCAGCTGTGCACGAATTACATGCTGCTGCGGCAACACATGTTGAACCACGCACGACTGCCAGGGTTCAATGCTCATCCACCTTGACTACTCTGGATTGCAACATGGGCCACCTTTCCTGCCCACACCCTACATGGCCCTACACTGAAGTCAAGCACTGTTGCATTCTTCCTTGGGGGCCGTGTTGCCATCCTGCAAGCCTCAAGCTTGACGAACATTTTCAAATCCACATGTAGCCCCCGGGGCTCCCCACCGTTTCGCTGCGACGGCTGGCTTCTCGTTCAGGTAAACCTGCTTGGCCGTGGTCAATGTCTAACGTAACTCAAATCTTTCTGGGCGGAAGGGAGTCGGGCGTGGCTGCAGTGGCTCACGACACTGCTGAGCTCTGACCGAACAGGGAACATTGTCACATGTTGCACCCTAAACCCTAAACCCTAAACACTAAACCCTAAACCTAAAGCATTGTCTATGGGCACGACCATTCTCAAAGAGGCCATGGCTGCATGCTCCAGCAGCACTCGGATAGCTGCTCGCTAGGTCACCAGGTCTCAGGAATCCTAATTTCCCCCTAAGCTCTCGAAGCTCTAGGCTTCTCAGGGGCTGAAGTGGCCCAAACAAGGTCAACCATGCTACTTATACATATATATATATATATATAGGATTTTATATAAATCCAAACTACCTCTCTCTATGTAAATATATGATGGGATTGTATATAACCAAAACGGATACAGGCTGTCTACTCAGTCCCTAAGATAAAGTTCCCCAGTAGGCTATGAAGAGACAGGTGCACTTCTCATTAGTGATGCTTGAGAGAGCCCCGAACTTTCCCAAACCCAGACGACCCTTCTGAAGAAGGGGCCTTCAGCTTCGACACTCCGGTTTTCAACGTGATGTCAGCCTCGATCCAGACATCGTCGCCTGGTCATCTAGGATCATGGGTTTAGGGTTTAGGGTTTAAGGTTTGGGGAAGTTCGGGGCTTCGGCTCTCACTTCAAGCCACAAAGGGCGTGAGGTTCTTCAGCTTCGGGTTGAAGGTTCTGCTGCCGAGCGATGCTCCGCAGCGCACCTGAAGCCCAACTTAAGCCACGAACTGGCAAGTGAAGGCCTCCGCTCCACCCCAACTCCCGCTCAAAACACAGGCAAGTTTCAGGGACCCATAGGTCTAGGGCTCTAGGGCTTCGGGTGTAGGCCGGTGTAGGGTTTAGGGTTCATACGGGATAGCAGGAAAGCTTTGTGTCTTGAGCTGTAGTGTATGCTGTGCCTGTTGGAGCAGAGTTGCTTGCAGCTGTATGTCGGAGTTGCGGTGGGAGCGTTCTCCGTAGGATCTGGAGGAAACGCATATTTTAGGGGCCTTATAATTCTGAATAATCAGAAATAGTTGTTTTTTTTGGAGGGGGGGGCGGAGGGGGGTGGGTTGTTATAGTAGGTTGCTATAGTATTCATATAGGGACCAGAAGGGAACAATATCTGTCATTCTTCCGACCCCCTATGCTATGATGTTGGAGCCGGGCTTGCTTCGGGTTTGGGCCTTGGGACTGGGTTTCGAGGGATTAAGACTGGCATCCCTAAAGTTGTGTCTCGTTTAGGGTCGCCCCGCCCCCGCCCCCGCCGCCCCTCCCCGCCCCCCTAAACACCGAGAATAGAGAATCCCCCTTACCATCACCCTAAACCCAAAACCCTAAACCCAAAACCCCAGACCCTAAACCCATCCAGCGCCGGGAGCCTACTTTGCCAGGCGGAAAAGCGCTGTCACTGGGCTTCCAGCCTTGTTGGCACTCGTTTGTCCGCTGGGCTTGGGGGATAGGGTGTAAGCGGTGACGGGGCCTGTCTCTCAGTCCGAGTCCCAAGCCTTATAAGGCCCTGTGATATGATATAAATATACATATAAATATAAATACACATGTGTATATATATGTATATACATCTGTAGATGTGTGTGTGTGTGTGTCATAGAAAGTATGATTTCATACTAGGCTATATGAGCTTATGAATATAGAAACCCATCATATCAATCTTCCAGTGGTTCAATATAGTATCTATAGTTTTCAACATACCTCCCGTATAAGACCTTGACCAACCGAGGGTGAGAGAATTCGGGCCGCAAGTAGCCCAAGAATCCCGCTTTAACCATATGAGGAGCCTCTGAGGGGCTGCAGTGCAGCCTAAGTCTCTGGGGTCCATGTTTAGGGTTGAGGGTTTCAGGTTTCAGATGCTGCGATGTTTGCGTGAGGAATCTTTACGCCTCCAAAACCGGAGCCCCCCTAGTACCCGCATTGAACACAAGAATCGACAACCTCAAACAGCATTGTGCAAGTAGCCCGTGCGAAGCTTGAGAAATTAGTTTTGGGCGTGGTTGGGAGCCCCCCCCCCCCCCTTTCGCCAAAAACCACACAACCAAACAAGGAAAACACAGTTACTATAGGGGTTTTAGTAATTGTTAATAGGGTTTGGGGCGGAGGGGGAGGGAGGGTTATTCGAGTATAAGTATAAAGGGACCATAAGGATTATTACAAGATTCGGAGGGGAGTGCAATCTTAGGGCATGTTGCGGGCTGTTTAGAATGTTGGGGGTTTACCCTAAACCCTAAACCCAAAACCCTAAACCCTGAACCCTGAACCCTAAACCCTAAACCCTAAACCCTAAACCCTAACCCTAAACCCTAAACCCTAAACCCTAAACCCTAGGGCTTGGGCTGTTGACGGTTTGGGTTCCCTTCCTGAGCACATGGCTAGGTTTCTCTTTGCCTTTTCCTTCACCTTTGGGAAGCGCCTTTGCCAGCAGTTTGCCGGCACCTCGGGATTTTCGAAGTAGGGTTTGGGGTTTAGGGTTTAGGGTTTAGGGTTTAGGGTTTAGGGTTTAGGGTTTAGTTCTAAAGTTTAGGTTTAGGGGTTTAGGGCTTCTGTACAGCTTAGGCTTATGGGCTTAAGGAGCTGAAGGGCTTGAAGGCGTAAGAGTTTTAGGACTGAGGGGCTCAGGGCCTAGTGCCTCATGCCTTTTGCAACTCCATGAATATATATATATATATATTTATTATTATTATTATTATTATTTTTATTATTATTCTTCAGCAAGTAAGGAGAACCAAAGCTCGTGCCTAAAAAAAGTATCTGTGCAATCGATAAAAACTCCAGACAGCACTAACCCCGTGAAAACACCCTGAATTTCGGTGACGCCGCTGAAGCGGTTGACACCGGTGGTAAAGACGTGAGCATCTTCACCACTCTTGGCACTTTCCGTCCGAAAGCCACATCTTAACGCCTGTGCCCTTTGCATCTTCGCCCCAAGATATATGACAAACACACGAGCAACCTCTATGCGCTCGTGGCGGTCCAGCTGAGAGGGTGCACCCTTGCCCTTGTTGGACTTGCCGTAGCCGCCCCAGGAATCCTGCCCAAGATTGCACCGACATTTAATGTGCTCCGTCAGCCTAGCAGCCTTTGGGCACCATAAACCTTATCAACCTTCTCAGTCAGTGTTGGGCACATGTTGAGACGGTTGTACCCCGGATGCGCAGCAATAAACGGCTTAGTCGCCCAGTAGCCATATTACAATAAAGGGCACCCTTTTTTTGGTTGGTGGCCTTACAAGGGAACCCAGAACAAAAAAAAGGGTCAAGGGGACCACTGGGCTACCAAGAAGGGGTACGGGAAGGATGACGTCCTGCCAGCGAGTACGATGTAGGCAGGCTCCGGTGTCGATGCTCGATATGTGGAGAGGCTTTCGTTTCAGGCTCCAATGAGCGACTGCAAACCGTGCACCACGAAGCTGTGACACTCTTTTCGGGGACCTCTTGTGCCCCAAACCATCGTGAGTAAGTAGTGGTTTTGGTGCTGGCGTTGTTTCGGAACCCTAGACTGTTATGATGCAGGAGCCTGTGTCGTCCTTCTAAGCTACCCCAATACCCATGAAAATTTCACAGGCCCCGAAATTTCAAATCAGCTAGGTTGCGGTGCACAGCACAGAGCCCTGAAACTGGGCTGTCGAACAAGGGAAAAAATGGCCCCATCTGCGACCGTACACCTGAAACCCCAAAACCCTCAACTCTCTAAAACCTAAAGCCTAAACCCCTAAACACCCCTACTTAACCCTAAACTACTAAACCCCTAAACCCCTAAACCCTTATACCCTGAACCCTCTAAACCCTTACACCAACCCTCTAAACGATAAACGCCCTTGAGCCAGTCCTTGCCCGACTCGCGTCCCGAACCGGAGTCCGACTTGTCTGGCGCAGAAGCGTGTTCTCAAGACCCAGAAGGTCTGGGGTTTTAGGGTTTTAGGGTTTTTTAGGGTTTTTTAGGGTTTTTTAGGGTTTTGCGGTTTTTAGGATTTTAGGGTTTATTAGGGTTTAGCAAAAGGAGGTCCAGAAACTCCCTTCTGTTTCCCTGCTGAGGGATTGAACGGGGATTAAACGGAGCACCTGATTCCCGCATTCCCCACTGAGAGCCCACTAACCTTAAGAGCTCCAAACCTACTCTTCTTGTACGTTAGGGTTTAGGGGTTAAGGTCGAGTTCTTTAGGAATGCCTGGGTGGGAGGACCTTCGGAATGGCAAGCCGATCACACCCCAAAAGCCGTCAACGAAAACCTCGAACCTCAACTACCCCCAAACCCTCAAAAACCCCAAAACAAAAGCCCCTAACCCCCCCCCCCCTCCCCCCCCGGCCCCCGCCTCAAAGTCAAAAGAAAAAAACACCCTAACCTCCAGGAAAACATCCTGAGAGCTCTCTCAAAACCCCCCAAACCCTCACCAAAAAACAAGAAGAAACAAAAACAAAGAAAGAGTCCTTCTAGTGCCTTAAACCCTAAACCCTAAACCCTAAACCCTAAACCCTCAACCCTCAACCCTCAACCCTAAACCCTAAACCCTAAACCCTAAACCCTAAACCCTAAACCCTAAACCCTTCTAGTGCCGGCCTTGCCCTGGCCACCTGCCAGCCCACAGCTTGTCCCACTGCTTCTCCCACTGCTTGACGTACTGCCAATGAGTTCCTTGCAGCTGCGGGCGGCAGATTTTTTGGGATTGAGTAGGGTTTAGGGTTTAGGGTTTAGGGTTTAGGGTTTAGGGTTTAGGGTTTAGGGTTTAGGGTTTAGGGTTTAGGGTTTAGGGTTTAGGGTGGCGCGAAGCCAAGGCATGTCAACGGCAGCGAAAGCTGCTGCCCTCAGCTGAGGCTGCGTCGGGGCAAAGAGATGCACGGCCTGGATACATCGCATACAGCGCACGACCCCCCTCCCCCTACATCTTGCAGAGAGGGCAGGCGGACGTCTACTGACACGAAAGCTACTCAGGACGAGCCTTCTGCCAATCTGTTCGGGCTCCTAGCTTCCAACCAAACCGTGAACCTTCCGACGTCCGAACATGTCGCGCCACCAAAACACAAAGACACTGCCATGAAACAGCTCTTTGCCAGTAGTCACTGAACAGTTCCCTGACCTCGATAGACCCTAAGCCCTCAAAAGAAAGTGCTGGCGCCTGGTCATTGGGTCGCCTGTCTTTACAAAGTCGACTTGTAGCCTGCGAGCAACACGCATGGGTTCAGGCTAAGGGTTTCAGGTTTTGTCTCTGAGTGCTGAACACCTCCCTCTCAATCAAAGCAGAACCCCCTCTTGAAGTATACATAGATATAGCACATCTGAGATTACGCCAGAAGCTAGAGATAACCATGACAACGTGGGCCCCCCAAATGCTTCTACCGTAGGGTTCTCCCCCCCACCCTCCGAAAGGGCCGTCATTCTGAGGATTGTCCATGGGCGCTGCCCAGACAGACTCGCCTTCAACAGAGTGCCGCTATTGAGGGCCCAAAGCAATCCAATGTTAAAAGGGTTTTGGGGAGCATCATCAGGGAGTTTAGTCTGTTTTGTTGGACTCTGTGGTACCCATCATTATATCCCCTATTAAAGACTGTTAGTAGAAGGGGGCAACATCCGCAACCTCAAGCCCTTTTACAGGGCATCTTACCGAGGCGCTTGGGATCGTCCAGCAGCTTGGAGAGTGAGCAGTGGCCAAAGACGGTCTCGCTCAGCTCCTCGCAAGGCCAAGAACTCCGCGGTTTAGGGGTTTAGGGTTTAGGGCTTACGGCTCAGCCCCGAACTCGGTTTGTTTCAGCCTTTTACTACTCTTTGCTTAGGCATCAAAATACAAGGCAAAAATCCCTATATTGACCTTATAAGAGCGAATATTTTTAAAGCAAATCTCCGTTGAAGCGCAGTGACACTAGGCTTTCTTGCGATCAAAACCGAGGCATGAATGGTGGGTGGCTGCCTCTGCTTTTGGCGGTGACGTTTGGACCTCGGACTCGTCTCCGACTGTAAGTATGAAGAGTTTGCGACCTAAGCCCAAACCCAACCTTTAAGTCGGGGGAACAGCGAGGTCGCCCCCCAGCAAAGAGAAGACTCTGTCGCCATTTGGGGGGGGGCAGTTTTGTAGTAAGGTCCCAACTGGTGGTCCCCCTTTTAAATATTACATTCATACGGTATGCTGTGCATTCCTTTGGGTAGTAGACCCTAACCCTTTCAAAAAAACCCTAAACCCTCAACCCGCTCTACTCTCTCCAAGCTCGGAGGCTCCTTCTGCAGCCGCGAGCGGCACTGCAACTTCACCTGGGAGACTTCGACCTCGTACTTCGGGCTCATGACGATGAGCTGTCCTTTGCCATCGGGTCGGGTTCCTACCCTCCCTCGCAAAGTGCCCACCCTAAACCCTAAGCCCTGAGCCCTACACTCCAAACCCTATAAGCCTCGAGCCCTGAAGCCTCGAGAGCGGAGGAGTGGAGCAACGGAGCAACGAAACGGAGGCAATCTGGCGCGCACGTTAGTGTGCTAGCAGCTAGCAAGGCAAATGGGGGAAGTGAACTAGCCTGTCTGGACCCAGTTGCGGGTACAGGGTCTTTCTTCCGTCACATGGTCCGACTACGGCCCTAAGCCCTGGACCCGTGCTATGCAACTGCCTGAGACGGGAATGCGACGGCACCATCGCTCCACGACAGCACCAGTTCACATGCCCAAAGAGCCCAATATTGCTTAATTGAGGAATATACCTTAGATCATATCAAGGATCCCTATATGATTCAAGGTATATTCCTTAATTAAGCAATCTTGGGCTCTTGGGGTGAAGCAGATTGCAAAGCCCTATCAGCGACAGCTCTGAACCACCCCCGTGCTTGCCCGAAGCATTGAGCTCGCGCTCTGCACTGCGCTCTCCGGCCCTGGAACGCTAAACCCTAAACCCTAAACCTTATAAACCCTAAACCCTAAACCCTAAACCCTAAACCCTAAACCCTAGACCCTAAACCCTAAACCCTAAACAGCCCGGCAAAGAGCCAGACTTCCCAAAGCCAAAGCCCGACGCCAAAGAAGAGTGGGGCGTGGCAAGATTTCTCAGCCGAGGCTCGCAAGCACTCGATGAGCTCCTCCCAGTTCTTGATGTAGTCCTTTCGGCCAGAGGGGTTTAGGGTTTAGGGTTTAGGGTTGAGGGTTTCGGGTTTAGGGGCTCGAGGAGTTTGAGAGTGGCGTCCTGGAGGGGGAACTTTAAATATGTCTAAAAAAAGTGTCCACATTCTTGATGCAGTGCCCCGTTTACCCAAAGCAAGGGTGTTCCTGCGTCCGGAGCCAAGGTTTTGACAGGGGCATTTCTTGCATGAGGCCACCAATAATCCCAATAATCACCGAGCTTCGAAATCAATGACTCTCAGTGTTTGCTGTGGGTCCGGACGCTCTCGCCTAGGGCCTAGACGTGCGCAAATCAAATCACGAACGAACTGTTTCCGCGTGCCCATGTCTCTCTCGGCCTGGAGATGTGAAGATGGTGTCCCGCGCATTGGCCGTCAAAACCTCTAATAACAACCCTAAACCCTAAGCCCTAAACCCTAAACCCTAAATCCTAAATCCTGCTTAAACCCTAAACCCTAAACCCTAAACCCTAAACCCAAGCAATGTGCAGGGGAATCCTCGTCTGATCGTACCCCTGTGGGTTTCCCGGCATCGGCATTCTGGAGTCGCTCGTACTCCTCCTCGGGCACAAATGGGGGCTTTGGGAGCTTTAGGGTTTCGGATTTAGGGGTTTAGGGTTTAGGGGTTTAGGGTTTAGGGGGTTTAGGGTTTAGGGGTTTAGTGGTTTAAGGGCTTAGTGGTTTGAGGGTTTAGGGTTGTAGGTTCTATTCTATTCTCGACCCGTCCACTGTTGTGTGCACCTTGCCGGCGAGAAGAATCGAATCTGTCCCCTTGCGCTTTCCCAAGCACTCTTGAGATTCAAGCTAGACATCCGATGCGCACTCCAACCCTCAACCCCAAACGCAAAATGCACATATACACCTCAAGAAACCTAAGCGCTACATCCTCCAAAGCCGATAGCCCTAAAACCACAAAGCCTCTGTCTATCCCCCTTCAAGCCTCTCAAGACGCCCCAACAATCAATACGCCCTGCAACAAACAATATCGCTCTCAATGGAAGCCATGGAGCTGACTCGTGATATGGTACCTGGGGTCGCGCAGTAACCGAACATTATGACAAGGGCAATTGTCCCCTTTTTTGGGGGTTGGGCTAGCCCTAAACCCTAAACCCTAAACCCTGAACCCTCAACCTTAAACCCTAAACCCTAAACCCTTTTTAACCATAAACCCTAAACCCTAAACTCCACACAAAACAAAGGCAAAAGGGCACCACTGGGCTACCAAGGTACAAGGCACCCATCGCGCACACCCAGGAACTTGTCTTGGTGTGTGCAGATCTCGGCGGCTCGTTGGGCTGGCGTGCTTCTTTCTAAGTTACAGTAGGTTTAGGGTTAAGGGTTTAGGGGTATAGGGTTAAGGGATTTTTCCCACCCGTTTCGCATGCGCTTACGGAAAAAAGGTCAGATGGTACAAAAAGCCAAATTCAGAATGTTACTGTAGAGTGCTTGGGATGGGTGTTGGTTTGGGGTTTGGGGTTTAGGGTTTAGGGGTAGCAAGGGCATATCATGAGTAAGACGGTGATCTGGCGGTTCCCGACTTTGATTGCTCTTGCCACTGCTCTGGCCCCTGATGTTCTTCGAGTCGGGACATCCGGCTTGCGTTTAGGGGCCACAGAGGTACTTAGGGGGTGTGGGTGGCTTTAGCCAAACCTCTGCCCACCACGCTCGTGTCTTTCAAGCTTCTTGCCTCCCAAATTACCACGCCATCAGCGCTTGTAGATGCATGTAGCCCCATGTCTCAAGACATGATTCGGGGGCAGCTCACTCATTCGTCGCTGCTTCTTGATGCTACGTCCACCCACTACGCTGGCCGCAAAGAAGCCCCTCCTCCACCTCTACATCCATCCTACTGGCGATGACTGAAACTCTGCCTGACCCAATCCAACTCACACTTCGGCGCCGCCCTAAACCCTAAACCCTAAACCCTAAACCCTAAACCCTAAACCCTAAACCCTAAACCCTAAACCCTAAACCCTAAACCCTAAACCCTAAACCCTAAACCCTAAACCCTAAACCCTAAACCATAGCACTCCGGGGCAGCTGCTGTGATGATTTGGAGCAAGCGTCCAAAGCTGATTTCTCCTGAGGACAAAGGGTTCTGCAGTGCCAATGGAAGCCAAAAGCACCAGGAGTTCTTAGAGTGTTAAAAGGTAATCAAGCCAACCTGGCCATCTTACAAGCCCCTTTACCCAAAAGGTGCATTTGTAGTACTATTAGGGAAGTAGGTACCCACAAACCCTTTGTAGTATGGCTTGTGGGTACCTAAATCCAGAAGAGTACTGAGTGGATGAGGCTTCCCTGGTCGGGATGGACTCCCAGTCCAGCTGCTGTTACCTTCCTATAACATCTACTGGGGCCCACAGATCGAGAGTAGAAGCAGCGAAACCCGCCTGAAACCCGAAACCCTACACCCCTAAACCCTAAACCCTAAACCCAAAACCCTTGACCCTAAACCCTAAACTCTAAACCCTCTCTCTCTAAAACCTGCGTGGCAACTGGACGCCTTGTGGGGCCGACTCAGCCCCAACCCCACGAACCTCCTCACTTCTCCGGAAACTACGGAACAAAAGAGGTCAACCTCTCCACTCGGAAACTCAGCAAGATGTGAATTCAACTCTTGGCTTATAGAGAGAACCCTCAAGAGTCAGCAAAGACTCGAAACCCTAAAGCTCTATATAAACCCTAAACCCTAAACCCTGAACCCTTAAGAAATCAGAAGCAAGGCGACCTGGGATCCAGAGCCCATGACCCCAAAATCCCCTGCGTGACATCTTGCAGCCGGGTGACTAAGAGTGTCAGACCTTGTGGGTTAGGGTTCAAGGTTTAGGGTTTAAATAGGGTTTAGGGTTAAGGGTTTAGGGCAAAGTTAGGCATTAGGGCCAGGGTTACGTGGAATGCTGTGGTAAAGTGCAATGCTCTGAGGGAGAAGCACGCCCCTTCACCCACCCGCCCAAAAACATACGCGCTTCTAGGCTGGGATGTTCTCCCTTATACTAACAATCCTTAATAGGGAGTAGAGGAGTAGAGTACCCCTATTGTAATCCCTATTAAAGACTGTTGGTGGCGGGGGACATCCCAAATTCTGGGGTTAATCATTAATCGTGGCACATCTGGAACTGCAAAATAAGCTTTCCTGTTTCTGGGCGTCAGGGAGGGACCTGGAAAGGGGTTTTCCGTACACAGTCCTCACGCCTACATCCACATCACAGCTGGCTATCCTAGGTCAAGCTCACTGCTGGACCTGATGAATTTCTTAGCTTCACGACAGCTGGTCTGTGCAAGCGATGTGCGGCACTTGCTGGAAAACGTGCGAGACCGATACACCACTGGTCATTGTCTGTCTATGCTATGAACTCTACAAAGCGTAGGGGTTCCTCAACCACTGTTGACAGCAGCGTTGCCCCTGCTCAAAGCGCCCAAAAACCCGAGATGATCCAATGATTACAAGCAGTGGCAGGTAGCAGCATCCCAAGTCTTACCCAAATCTTTCCCTGTTCTCTATACCTTGATCGAGCACTTTTTCTGGCCAACTTGGGTGTCATGATTGCGAACGAGCAACTGATCTTGCAACCAGCAGGCAACAGTCACGCTCCTCCGCCGCATGCGCGCAGTCAGCGCGTAACCCCGCACATGCGCCCCACAGGCCCTATACAACATGAAGAAGCTTGGTCCGACATTCCTAGATATCGGCTCTGCGTTACGCTGACCTTGCACCTGCCGTGGGTTGTGTACGTTGTCTGCTGTAGGTCTACTTCACTACTATTTGGGTAAAGACCCCCCCCCAACAAAAATCAGACAGTCATCCCTATTTTACCCTTATAAGGAAGAATGCTTCTTAATTTTCGGGGGGAGTTCTTAAGCACATATTTACATATATATATATATACATACATATGTATATATATATACATAAGTCTAGTTTGGCAACCTAGGTGTGGCATGGCTGGGCTCGCCCCCTTAGGAGCTGTCCTGATGGCGCTGTCCTGGGTCTTGGGCCAGCCGCCTCTCAGCAGGTGAAGCCGGATCTCCTGGGGTGGCTCTCCAGTGGTTTAGGGTTTGGGGTTTAGGGTTTAGGGTTCAGGGTTTAGGGGCTTTAGATACCCCCAAAGCCTACTTTTTTGTGTAGGTTAGCTCTAAGAATCCTACGAGAGCTTCATAACCATGACCTGCAAAAATGATGGCTTTGGGTTCTGAAGGTAGCTTTTTCTTGGCCGATTCGGGTCCGGTCTTGCTCGCAGGCTTTCCGTTCCTTTCCTCGAGACTCTGCAATGCTGGACACCCACGTGGGCTACATCCACGCGGGCTTTTGACTTACTGAAAGGATAAGGGTACTTGTGCCGGGCACACACGCAAATCAGGCCTGGGCAAACACATTGGTGTGAATCATATACGTATCCAGCTTCATGGTATGGGCATAGCATGGTAGTCGTTGCCCTGATTCAGGCGCTTAGCTGAGTTATGTCGGAATTGGGGACTACAGGGGCCTTAAGAATTGGAATAGGGTCTTGGGGGTTGGTATAGTATATTTATCAAGGGACCATAAGGGAATACAGTACTATTAGCAAGTATTCCGACCCTCATGTTGAGCCCCGTGCCTCCCACACCTCCTCAGAGACCAACTCCTGTTGCAAGTCATGACAAGGCTTCGGGGCCTACTGTAAGGGTGGGAATGATGACTAATCGTCTTCCCTTTCAAGTCCCTAGACATTTTATAATGTAACCCCCCAAAACCCTATTAGAATTTTTAAAAGTCCCTACGGTAGTTGCTCACGTCTTGCAAAAAACGCAGGCAGGGCTTCCAATTCAGTGCACAATCATAGCTACCGATGCATACCGATTCACATCTACGCACGATGTCTCTCCAATGAGTCAGGGGCTTGAAGTACACGGCTGGCTGTGCCGGAAGTCAGTACGAACCAGTGCCAGCAAGTGTTGAAAATCCTTGTTCAGTCCGGTCCTTCTTCCCGAACAGAACTGTTCCTAGGCTGGCCCCCTACATCCCCTTGAAAACTATTCATCAACATGATCCTCTTCAACCCAAGAAGGGAACACATAAAATGTCGCAAGGGCCTAGCTAGTCAACCTAAACCCTAAACCCTAAACCCTAAACCCTAAACCCTAAACCCTAACACCCAAACCCTAAACAGTAAACCTAAACCCTAATCTCGGCAGCCTCGCCTGGATGGAGTGGTCCTCCTCCTGCACGAAGCCTCGCCAGGACATGGGAGGCTCCTCGAGGACCGCCCGGAAGTTGAGCCTCGCTCGCGCTGGACTGCAGTAGATCCGGCGCAGTACTTCTAGGGGTTTAGGGTTTAGGGTTTGGGGTTCGCGCAAAAACAGAAAATCGCACACCCACGCCGGAACGAGTAGTACCCGGGCATAACTTGCACAAAGCCATGCCGAAAACCCTAAACCCTAAACCCTGAACCCTGAACCCTGAACCCTAAACCCTAAACCCTAAACCCTAAACCCTAAACCCTAAACCCTAAACCCTAAACCCTAAACCCTAAATAACTTTAAAAAGGCTACAGCACAGCAGAAGAATCGACGTGCCAGAATGAATAGGCATCACAGAGCACAGGGCCTGTGCAGTTGGGTGGTAGATGATGAGGCAAGCTTCTTCTGGTAAAGAACATAAGGACCCTTAAGAAAGACTGGGAATTGGGGGGGGTGGTTGATATCGTGATCATAAACAAGTATGAGCATTTAAAAAATATATAAAACAAAAACAAATTAATAAGCAACGAAATAAACAAACAAGCAATAAATGAATACACAAATAAATACACACACATATAGATATATATATATATATATTGTCTTATATATATATATATATGTATATATATAAAGGGGGGGCGACCCATTGATCCTTGCTGAGGCTGCTCCACGACACGAACCCTAAAGAGACTTTCTGGTCCTACTGGTAACACCAAGCACAGTATCGGGGGCACATGATCCATTCTTTGGGTTAGTTTGTAAACCCTACTCTCAACACCCTTATCGTAACCCTAAACCCTAAACCCGAATACGACAGAGCGAAGTTGGTCCCTGAACCCTAAACCAGCATTCGACCGTTTGTTGCCGAGCTGAATGCCTTTTTTCTGAGACCTTTTTGGTGGTTTCAGGGTTCCTGTGAGCCGCGCAGCTTTTTGGAGCCAGGTGGGTCCATGTAGACGCCAGGCGTCGACTCAACCAGGATCACCTGGGACATGATTTTGGGCTTTATATAGGGTCATGGCTATTGCGGGGTTTTTGGCGGGTTAACTACTGTTGGTGCTTACTTAGAATGGGTTGCGGGAGAGGTTGGGACCCGCGCACGTGTGACAGCTCCACTTCTTTAAGGGTTTTTTGCCCAAGGGTTTACAGGGTTTATATAAGGTGGTGAAAGCTCAAGGGCGTCAGGGGATTCCCAAAACCGAAAAACTCCAAACCGTTACCACTACAAGCTCAAAATACCCAAAAAACCTTAACCCTAAACCCCAAAATGGCCAAAATGCCCAAAAACCCTTGGAAGGTTCGAAGTTTGAAGTGCTATGCCATGCATCCAAGGGACGAGCTGCTGTTGGCTGAGCTTCACACCTGTCAACATCTGCCAGTACCTTCCGCAGCCAGCTCATGTATGGTGTAGGGTTTAGGGCGTTTAGGGCGTTTAGGGTTTAGGGTTTAGGGTTTAGGGTTTAAGGTGAGTGGTTCTAGACTTGTCCGGTTTGTACGGAAGGCCCTCTGATACGGAACACCTGTAGCCGCAAGGAGCGGTCCTGCGTCATGAATGCTAAGCCCTAAACCGCGAAACCGATCGGATCCCCAACCAGCAAGGGACAGCACTTTTGAACCCTAAAGGCTTTGAACCCAGACTCGACAAGCCCTGTAGACCCTAAACCCTTAACCCCTCAAAATGTCAGGAGGTTCTAGTTTCTAGTTATGAAGCAGGCGTTCCGCGCTTGAAAGGCTTGACTTGCGTTAAGGCTTTGTTGGGTTTGGACTTTAGGGCCGGTGGGGGGGGGGGGGGGGGGGGGGTGGGGGGTGGGGGGGGGGTGGGGGGGGGGTGGGGGGCGGGTGTTGGGATGAAGTGTGTCGGCTTAACCCTACACCCTAAACGTTAAACCCCTACATCCTTTTGAACCCGAAACCCTAAATAGCCGAAACCCCTAAACCCCAACCCCCCCCTAGACCCCACCATAATTAGGTTGGGGTCTTAAGTAAGCCCCCCCCCTTGCGGAAAAGAAAAAACAGCCGAAAAAGAAAATGCAAGGGGAGGGGCCACTGCAGTATTGAACCCCGTGGGATGGCTTCATCCAGGTACAGCGAGCAGACGATCCAGCGGAGCAGCCCCTGGGCCGGTAGTAGGGTTGAGTTTGCGCTTTAGGGTCTAGGGTTTATGGGGTATAGCTTAGGGTTTATAGGGTTTAGGTTTAGGGTTTAGGGTTTAGGGTTTAGGGTTTAGGGTTGGGTTCAGGGTTCAGGGTTCAGGGTTTAGGGTGCTTTGGGGCTATGGCAGGCTTCTACTTCGAAAGGCTCTCGTGTGCTCCAGAACCTCAAGGAATACGTTCTCTGAATGCATCCCCATGGGCCTGTGGGCTCAACGACTCCTGCTCTGCCATTGCTGAAGGAAGCGGTGAAAAATAGCCTCTGGGTTGGTTCCAGATCGGTGTCTGCTTGTCAGGGTTCCTGGGTACCCACGCTGCGGAGCTCTGCTGCTTGACAGTTCTTTTGGGGGAAGCTCATGTGCCCCCGCTGTTGAAATGCTCGACTAAAGCTGTGGTGCAAGTTGCAGACTCGATGTTCACCAGTACGATGTTCTCAAGTACCTGCTCTTGCGAAAACCTGTCGCTGCACATCTTCAAAGAGCTCGCTGAAAGCCGCAGCAGAAAGCGATTGGCAGCACAGGATTTGCTTCCCCATTGAAGCTTCAAATCTGAGCCCTACCCCCCCCCCCCCCCCCCCCAAAAAAAAAAAAAAAAAAAAACGTACTCCCACTCCCAGACCTGCTTCTGGTGCTACTGAGTATTCGGGGTCTGGGGCTTGGGAACATGCCCACTTGGAGGGGAACAGTGTGCATACGGGCGAGCTTCGGAACACCTCCGCTTCACTTGCCACAAAAGTGTGGGGCCGAATCCGAAATCGAGCCCCTGAACATCGCAAATACTGCAGTTCCTACATGAAACCGGATACCTCCCCCCCCCCCCCCCAAACCCCAAACCCAGAACCCCAAAGCCTGAACAGCTGCACACAAAAGTCTCAATCGTCTTCCAGTCTTTGGACAATAACGGAGCCCACTTGGTGGGCACCGTACTGCCCTCCTCTCCCACCCCTAAACCGCATAAACCCTAAACCCTAAACCCTAAACCCTCCGCGCTCTACAGCTATGGCGTGCTCAGCAAGAATGGCGCACCCCCCATCAGTCCTGCGATGTGCGCATTGGGTTGGGACCCTAGAGCATTCCTAGGAGTTTCTAAGGGGCCTGTTTGGGAACCTAAACCGTAAAAAAAAGTGGAATAAGGGCCCTACCCTGGGTCCTTGTTTTCGGACACCCGAAAAAAAGAGGAATAAGGCCTACTCTGCGTCCTTATTTTAGGTTCTGGGTTGGAGCCTTGGCTTTGTATGGAAGCGGGTGTGAGAAGGAGTTGGGGGCTGGTCTCGAACCTGTTCTGGACATGTCCAGGGAAGCATCAGCCACGCTTGCAGGGTTTGGCAAGGTTTCGGGCTTAGGGCTTAGGGCTTAGGGCTTAGGGCTTAGGGCTTAGGGCTTGGGGGTTGGGGCTTGGGGCTTAGGGCTTACTGTTTAGGGTCTAGGGTTCAGGGTCTAGGGAAAGGCCATCATATGCAACCGAGCAGAAGTCAGCAGAAGTGAGGCAAGGAAGCCAGACGCAAGCAGTGGCAGAAGCTCTTGCCAGAGAAGGGCCGACTCTGCTGTGTGTATCTCTCAGTGACCCTGAACTCCAAGAAAGATGACAAACTCCGAAGGCCCCCCCTTTTCCCTGGTGGGCCCCCTTTCAACCCTCTGAAACATTAATTCTAACCGAACCAGGAAATTCAATAACCCAACAAGCGGAAAGAGCAACAAATCTCCTGAAAGGTCCCTACGAGTACCTGCCCTGCAATGAGCTGCCAGTCCTGTGTTCGTCTCGGCAAGAAGCACCGACCTTGCTGCGCGGCCGGGAAGTTCGGCGAGCCATGACCCACCTGGAAAGCCTTGAGGTATTCCTGGAACCCTTGATGGACGCCTGAAGGAGCGGGTTTAGGGTTTAGGCTTCCCCCCCCCCCCCTCCGAAGTGACGTTCTTATTTCGGAGTTAGGACCTGAAGAGATCTTCCGGCGGCGAAGCTCCGATTAATTCAGGTCCTCCCTCCCCCCAAAAAAGCTCAAAGCGCCGACTCGCGTTAATGGAAGAAACCTTAACTGCCCCAGACCCCAATGCCCACATAACCTTAGAGAGCCTCAAACCTTTTTCCATATCCAGGCCCCCGGCCTGTTGTGCGACACCACCTCCTCCTCGCTCTTGCGCGTTCGCCGTTTTGGCGACGTGGCGGGGGGCTCGTCTGGCGCCTGGCACAAGATTCCCCAGGCCCAGCATCTTGACAGCAACTCCGCTGCCAAGACCCAAAAATCTGCCCACGACCTACAGTTCTTCTGATCTCGGAATGTTGCGAAGCTCTTGAATCAGGGAGGAGAAGACTTCTTTCCACTGAGCAACTGGGCGGCTTCTCATGTGACGCCCATGCTTCCTATTGGTTGTTCGCCTCTCAGCTCTTTCTGAATAGGAGAGGCGTCTAGGCAGGTTACTCAGACAACGAACCAAACATTCGGGCTTGAGGCCCTGTGACGCATGAGCTCGTACATGCTGCGAAACAAACTACTCCAAAACCCTACCCTTCGCCGCACGGAGCAGTGCGCGCATGCCTGCCTTCCACCGCTGCCATTCAGGCGTCGACTTCACCTTTGCAGTAGAGATCAGTAGAGGGAAACACACCTTCAACTGGCTTTTTTACCCTAAACCCTAAACCCTAAACCCTAAATTATAAACCCTAAACCCTAAACCCTAGACCCTAAACCCTAAACCCTAAACCCTAAACCCTAAACCCTAAACCCTAAACCCTAAACCCTAGACCCTAAACCCAAGCTCCACTTCAGGATGCCCCCTAGGGTGCCTTTCGCTGTTATGCTGTTATGGCGGGGGCACTTGCCATCACTTACCTGCCCGATAAACCCTGTCTGCAACACCCTCCCCTAAACCCTAAACCCTAAACCCTAAACCCTAAACTCTAAACCCTAAACCCTAAACCCTAAACTTGTAAACCCTAAACCCTAAACCCTAAACCCTAAACCACTTAACCCTATGCGCCCTAGGAAGCCCTCTATTGCTGAGACGACTGAGCCGCTTGCACTTGCGTGTTTGGAGGCACCGTCCTGAAAGGACCTGTGGGGACAGGCCATAAAAGGGCACCGCAAGTGAGGCCTGATCGTTGTATGTACTTGTGGAATGCAGCTTTCAGGAATGAGGCCATGCACAAGTCGTCGGGGGGGAAGAGCCTCGTTCAGGGCAGCTTTGCGAGGAACTTCAACTCTTCACGACCACACGTGGCCACAAACCCATTCAGGAATCTAGGGAACCCCTCAGCCACAAAACCTTCCGAAGACATCTCTGGCTGCCTGAAGCCTGCGAAACAGCACCCACCACCACAGTGAAGAGCTTCGCAGGATGTGCTGGGTAGGCGCGTGCAAGCAGCATAAGCTTCTGCTCCAGGGACCCTTTAGGCCTAAGCCTGCAAACGCAGGCAACCCAGTGACAAGCAGGTGTGCCAGTGAAATTTCCGCCCAATCAAACGGAGATTGAACTCGCTATTGGCGAACTCCCCTTCGGAGGTCCCCTCAGTTTGTTCAGGGCATTCACTGGGAGTCGTACGGATGGCGTGAGCGATTGCCGCCACCGCCGGGGACCTGGCAGCAGATCTCTGCAGATCAACTGGACCTACTGTGCGCGAGCTGAAGGCCCTCATGGGACTTCGCCTTGGACCCTAAGGTTGTATTCTTGGGTTTGGGGGCCCTTTTTGAAGATCTCTCTCTCGCTCTCTCTGCCGCGCCATCCCTTTTTAAAGATCCCCTAAGGGACTTTGCATGATAAAGGCCATAGGAGTATATTCAGGGAAGCTCTTCGGGTACAGCCTTAGAGGTCCGAGAATGACTCCGTTACGGCCCGGGCCCTGCAACCAAAGAAACACTTGGAAACCTTGTTGAGGAGTTAGGGTTTAATCCCAACCGGAATAACACCCCCACTTTCTCTCTAGACCCTATCTCCTGAACCTACGACAGTCACGGGCTCAGTCGGGTTGTAGGGTTCCAATTTCAGCAAGTTCAGGCGCAAGTACCCTTCGAGCCCCCTGCCTGGCAACATTCAACCCCTCAACACCTCGGGTGAGAAAAAAAATGGTTTAGGGTTTAGGGAAAAGAAGTGCCCGTAGCTACCCCCTGAAACTACCCCTGAAACCGAACCCCCGCGAAGCCAGGACTTAGTGAATGTCGAGCCCAAACCACTGTTTGCTTAAGAGAACCCCCCCCCCCAAAAAAAAAAAAAAAAAAAAAACGGCAACAGCAATAGCAAATTCTATTCCTGATGAGGGCATTTTGGGGATAAATTTACAATTTCCGGGGGGGGGGTTCTTAAGCAAATAGTAGACAAACCTTGAACCCTAAACCCTAAACCCTAAACCCTAAACCGTTCTTAAACAGACAGTAGCCTCTCTTCGCCTTTCCTGGGCCCGAAAGAACATCGAGAAGGGCGCTTAGTTGTCCAGTAACCCGGGGGGATTGAAGGTTAACCTTTGGGAATGTAAGGGGATTCTATTGCCCCCCAAAAGGTTAAAGGTTACCTACTCTAACCCTAAACCCTAACCCTAAAGCCTAAACCCTAAACCCTGAACCCTAAACCCTAAACCCTAAACCCTAAACCCTAAACCCTACTACTAGGGGCGCCTGTCCAAGACTGATTTCATCCTCCAGCAGCAGCCTCACCGAGCTTGGGGGGAGGTCAAAGGGATGTGAGGGGTTGAACGGTGAACGGCTTGGGTTGTAGGGTTTAGGGTTTAGGGTTTAGGGTTTAGGGCTGGCAACCACACTGAAGCACCTGTACGGCTTGGGGTTTAGGGTTGAGGGTTTTTAGGGGCTTGTAAAGGACCCACGGGCCCGTGGGCTGTATGCCTGTTGCTAGGCCCAAGGTGTGGGGGACATCGCCAGATGTGCCATTAGCAGCCCTTTCAGTTCCTGAGAGCCCGTGCTCGTAGCGAAAGAAACCTTTCAATAAACTTTTTTATTTATTTTTTTTAAAAAAAAATTACCTGCCAGTTTCTACTCCAAGCTCCTGGAGCCCCTATGCTGATAGAGGTTCTAGTGCTTTCAGGAGATTGCGGTGTGCTTCTCGTCCAGGAGTTCGGATGATGTTGCCATAAGGCAAATCTAACCGGCCCTGCACCCTGATACCTTGGGGACCCAATGAACCCTAAAATATTGGGATAACCCTAAACCCTAAACCCTAACCCTAAAACCCTGGATCAACCCGTAGCCCGCAAGGAGTCGGTACGAGTAGAGTGAGCCCAAAGTCCGCGGC